AAGGGAGATTGGAAACCCTCACTAGGTGATTATTTAGATGAACTCCCCAGAGAAATCCCACCAGATGAACACATCACGGAGTTTGTGTCAATCAGTCCAAAAACCTACAGGTACAAGTTGTCCAGGGAAAAGGTTTGCTTGATGATCAAAGGGATTACCCTGAATGTGGCCAACTGTGAAAAAGAAAACTTTGAAACCTTGAGAGACCTTGCTTTACATTATGGGGCAAACCCTGCTGGGGACACCCCTAAAACAATTGTGATACAACAGCGCTCTATTGTCAGGAAAAAAAGCAAATGGACAACAGAAACCAAAGCCTTGAGAAACTCAGGAAGTTGTTTATGACAAAAGGGTCCTCACAGAAAACTTTAACTGTCTCCCCTATGGTTTTTGAACATGGATATGCAATGGAAGCACCCCTTTCCTGTGATTTTTGGCAGCCCCTGGCAACTGTGGTAAAAGATACTTTATAAAAAACCTTCTGGATCACGCTGATAGAATGTTGTCTGTTATGCCTGAGAATATCGTGTGATGCTATAGCTGTTGGCAGCCTTTGTATAAAGAACTGTTTTGTCAATATTCTTTTATCAAGTTTGTAGAGGGTCTACCAGACAGTCTCAATGACAACTGTTTGTTTCCTCCTAATAAAATAAATACGGTTTGATGGACTCTGCTTGTGACAGCGGCAAAATCGAGAAAGCCTTTACCGAGTACATGCACCATCGGAATCTTAGCATTATGTATATAGTTCAAAATGTTTTCTGTCAAGGGAAAAGGAGCTGCACCATTACCCTTAACATAAAATACATTGTTTTGTTTAAAAACCCCAGGGATAAGCTACAGATAGTGTCCCTGGTGCGGCAAATGTACCCAGGTAAGGCCCAATTATGTCTAGAAGCTTTTGAGGATGCCACAAAAGCACCTTATGGGTATCTGGTGGTAGATTTAAATGCTTCTACCCTGGACTATTTTAGATTAAGAACCGGGCTTTTTCCTCCCAACCAAACTGCTGCATACATTTTTTATTTTTTATTTTTTTTAAACAGCGGGTGGGAATAAAAAGACATGATGTAGCAGCAGCCTCTTCTTAGCTCTCAAGACGGTGGAAGGGAAATGTGTCTAACCACGTAAAAAGAAATTTTGGCTCTCTTAACTGCTTCTTCCATCCTCCCCTCAGCAGAGAAAACCTATACTCTGCTTGGCCTCTGATGATTTAGTAGCAGCCATTTCAGAAATTGCTCTGAACACCTTAAAGGGAAACATCTCTTTGACACCGCATCAAAATCACATGCTGAAAAAGAGATGCAGGATCATACAAAAACCTAAGTAAACAAAAGATTGCCCCTAAAAAAAAAAAAAAAAAAAAAAAAAGAAACAGCTGGTGAAACAGTCTGGGGGATTTATCGGCCCTCTGTTAAGTTTTTTGCTTTCCCTCTAATTACAGGGCTCTTGACTAGCCGGTGATGGAGCATGCAGAAAAAATGTATCTGGTGCCCAGCCATGACCTGGAACAATTAAGGGCTCCCCTACCACAGGTCAAAGGCAAACAAGGTGTATCCCAGGGCAAACTCCTCACGGTTGATTATCAGAGCCCGGTCTTTCATATGTTTACTGGCTATCTGTACCAGCTACATGTATTCTCTCATGCAGTTACCGTTCTCAAAATCTGATTCCTGCTAAAGGCATCATTATCCACGAACCTGATGATGATGCGTTTGGGCAGCTGCCCCAGAAACAGATTCTCCTGGTTGCTGACTTGGCTGCCAGCAGGCATGCTAAACACTTTCATACCCATGCGGTCTATAGGGTATACAGCACTGGCCGTAAGCAAGGCCTCTGCATGGCCCAGTTGAATGCCCAGGGCTACCTTTACTTTTTTCACAAAAAGTGAGGTGGATGTGATTTTTAGTTTACGTTGGCCAACCGCTGTGGTGCCCATCAAGTAGAAGGCATCTTTACTGCATGTCAGTTTAATTTTCACATCCACGCCATTCAGCAAGTTTTTCTTGAAAAAACAAATCACTGTGGAGATGACCAAGCAGCTCTATCTTTTTGGTCCCGTCTGCCAGGTTTGCCCATCTCTGAAACCCATGATTATTGCCATCCCGTGTGACCGTTTCATAATGTCCAGGGGTATCTTTGTAAAACAGGACAACAGAAAATTGGGTGGCAAGGGTGTTATCACTGTAGTTGAGAACCAGTTTGATGAAGGCTCAGTAAGGGTAACAATTGTTGCTCTGGCTTATGAGAGAATCTCCCAGAGTGACATCCAGCTGACTGAAGACAGAGGCCAGCAGGTAATTCATCAGACCTACGGCTGCCCTGGCATCAAGATCAGTTCCATTGCCTTTTACAATCTTGCAGCAAAGGTAGAGTAGCGTGTTGTTCAAATCCATGTAATCTTTGCCATTTCTGGCTATGAAAAAGTCAAGAAGGCCAGATTCGGTAATAGCTGATAGTGGAGGGATCTCAACATACAGGCTTTATTCAATGCAGGTCTGCGTAGGGGCTATTTGAAACGTATCCAGTTCAGATTTGGCGCATTCTTCAGTCCCACACTGAACAAAGGCCATGACAATTAAAATATATTTCTGTTTCCTCCAGGAGAGCACTTCTTCTTTCTCCCAGTCTGCTTCTTGGTTTTTCATGTATGGCTGCACTGTCGACTTAACTGTCTTCTTTTTAAGGGATTAAGGAGGTGCTATATGTCCAGAGTGTGGTGTGTGTCTCTTTCTTTTAAGGCTCTTCCTTTGAATATACATGAGGCTGGACCCCTCCTGCTTTGCCAGCTTGACCACCTTATCCAGGAGAGCTTGAGAGATGTGACCGATCATGTCTTTGGCTATGTTTTGCACCGCATTTTTAGAATGGAGCTTAATAATCTCCAGGCCCCCGTCTCAAAAGCAGAATGGCTTTTCTAAAGAGGCTGCAAAATATGCCTCCCACACCAGCCCTGTACATCACAGGCACCCCCTGATATCGGGGAAGACCATACCCGGCCTGGGGTTTATAATAACTTCTGTACAAGTTAGGGTCCCCATAGTTTTTTACCATCACCATCATGCTTTTACTTATTGTAAAATCTCAAAGTCTTCTGGGGGCATAGGTGAAGCTTAACGATCACCTAACCAAAGCGAAATGAGATGTGTTTGTTCTGATCTGTCTTTATTTCAATGCTGATTGTGTCAATGTGGTACTGACTAATGAGGACATAATGTGGCTTGTCATATGTGATGGTGCCAAACTTGTTGTTGTTCCCATGGACAGGGACACAGCATAGTAAAGGAACCGAAAAGTCCCCGACAAGCTGATGTTCCACAATCTCTGTGTAGACATAGAGCGAATTGAACCCACAGGTAATATCACCTGGGGGGGGTGTTCTTTTAACAGAGAACCTGGGTAGCATTCCCAAAATATAGGCTAGCTCACCTTGGTTATAAAAAGCATAAGAGTTATCTTTGGTTTTAAGTCTCACTTTTCCGATCACTTGATCATAGTACATAACTAATTCAGGTGGAGTAGGGTGGATGGTAATTGTATCATTTATAAGATCCAGCAACTCTGTGATGGTTGTATAATACCCCTGATGCAGGAAGTACTCCCATCTTTTAGTCCCAGAAATGATTTTGAAAGGGGTGTCTTCGTTGATGTTGATCCAGCTGTGCGGGTATTGTATTTCTGCTAACCCTATCTCCCAGTTCCCCAGCACATCCAGAGGTTTAACCAGCTGTATGGTAAAGGTCGAACTGGTGTTCTGCAGAAAAATCCTGGCACAAGCATTTCTGGGCAAAGTGATGTAAAAGCCGCCATCACATATCTCAGCCTTCTGACTGAGGTACCCCTATATGTTACAAACTTGGGAGGCTTCCACCCAGCTGTTAAATTTAGCTGGCCACCCCAACCATTTCACCAACAACCGCTTCTTTCTTCCCTTTCCTTTCATTGCTAGAGCTTTTTCAACTCGGTAAACTCTGTCCACTTTTTGTAGTTCTTCAGGGTAAAAAGAACCCTCAATAGGTTCATCTTCATAATCTTTTAGGAAGTATACAGGTGTCTGCACGCATCTAAGGACTTCATCCACTATGAAAATCTCATCGGTTAATGTTTGTTCATAAACTTTTTCAAACCTCTCTTTGGTCCTAGACCCCCTCACGTGGTCTCCTTTTCTGAACATGGGTAATGCTGCTTTTATTTTGAAATAGTCCCTGCACATGGTTTTCCATACCCATGGAGAGTTTGAGAAGTTCATGTCAACAGGCCTGGTGTGGATAGTTCTATGAAAACTGTGGTTGTATCTCTTTATAAACTCTGGTAACACATCAATGTAGCGAAAGGTGTTGTGGGCTGTAAAATACCTCCACATCTTTGATTTTAATGTTCTGTTAAACCTTTCTACCACTGCTGCTTTCACTTTACTGTTCATCACAAAATGGGGAATATTATACTGTTTTAACTGTTTGCTTAAAGACTTATTTTAAAATTCTTTCCCCGTTCAGTCTGTAATTTTTGAGGTATGCAGCCCTCTGTAAAAATTGTTTTTAAGGCCTGAGCTATTTCACCGCCTGACTTGTCTTTTAGATCCATGGCCCAAGCTTACTTTAATAGTATGTCTATCACTGTTATGATGAACTTAACCCCATGGTTGTGCTTGGAAAACCGCTGCATATCCACCAAATCTGCCTGGCATTGCACACCAATAGCTGAAGCATCAGTCTTGTTTCTTTTAAAATGTCTTCTCGCCAGTTTGTGCAGGGTGTAAGCAACCTGATCTGAAAGCCAGCCACCCCACTTCTGTTCAGAACCTTATTCTGCCTTTTGGCAGCTTCAAAAAGCGTATTCACCCCGCCAAAACTCCCAGCTTCACCAGGAGAGTAATAAACTTCCTTTAACAAAGCCTCCTGTGTAGGCATGTCTAGTAACCTCTGTGCCCCACCCCACCCCATGCTAACATCCGTGTGGTGCATTCAAATGCTTGGGGACAAATTTAAACCATGGTAAAACAAGGTTTATTAAGCAGTTAAGAAATACAACATTAACAGAGATCTTCAGCCTCGTCTTAAACAGTTGTTCAAAACCAGGTCACACAAGAAACCTTCTTCTGAACAGAGTTGGGATACTTTTTTATTTGAAAATAGTCCCCCAGTACACCCCTGCTCAGAGACCTCCATGGGCTCATAGTCCTGCTCTGTGACCTCCACGGCCTTGTAGCCTGGCTCAATAGCCTCCATAGGCTCAAAGCCTGGGTTAGCGATCATTGTCTTTGGACAAAAATGTTGCATCAATCTTTGGTCTCAAACTGCTCTTTTGGACATGAACAAAAACCGTTCACACAAAAAACCTTTACTTTCGGCAGGGTGCCAATGTGCAGGTTTTGAAAGCTCTCTACGAAGGCGTCGTCTACCTGCAAAAGCATTGTTATTAACACAGGCCCAGACAGTTACAAGAAAAGAACCCCACAAAAATCATCTAAATTAGTTACCTCAGCAGAGTCCCTTGAGACAGAGGTGTCCATGCTCTCCATAGGCAGGTCTGATACAGACTGCTCGAGTTCTGTCATGGTACCCGGTTTTGTTTTGGTAGACTTGGCATCCATCTCGTGCTCCTCAGTCTCTTCCATGTCTGCCCCCATGTCTGAGCACAGTCTCAGACAAAAAGAGGGCTTGCTTGGGAAAGCAGATAGACCTGGTGGGCTTGCAGCCTAAGCTCCACCCACCTACTTGCTCCAATTGGTTTGGTGTTGTTCTTGGGGAGGTCTGAGGCCTCTGAAGCCCCTGCCAGTTGGTCAGGGGTGGTGGAGTGGGTTGTTAGAGGGGTCATCCCCCCACTGCCATGCCTGTGCCCCAGGGGCTAAAGTAGTCTGGGGTCTGATAGGTCACAACTGTACCACGTGGTCTAGGGTGGATCTTGCAGCATGAGGGGGTGGGCTTTGGGGTAGGCCACATGGGTTGCCCTTCTGATGTCATGGACCATATGGTGGTGGTGTCATACACCATGTGACTGGCAGGTGGGGGTGGAGTTGCTGATGTCACACACCATGTGACTGGGGGAGCAGGGGTGGGGTTGGGGATATCACACACCACGTGGTTGGGGTCAGGGGCAGGGCTTGCAATGTCATGCACCACATGACTGGGGTCAGGGTCAAGGCTTGTGATGTCATGCAACATATAAGGGGAAAGGGGGTGGGGTGAAGGGGGCGGGACTTCCAGTCCTACCCACCTGTCACATTTCCACTGAAGGGCGGTGAGCCTATATACTACTCCCACTGTAAGAATCTGAATGTAACTCAGCAGAGAGTGATGGCTTCTTCCTGCAAGCTTCTGCATGTGTGAGGAACAGTAATCAGACAATGCAAATATAATAGCCAGAAAAGAGAACAATTATCCTCCAGTCCAGTCTTCCAACTTCCCTCCTGACCTACGTGTTATTTCCTGTATATCTGGCAGTTTTTCCATCAAGTTTGAGGCCAGAAGGGAGCCTTAAACCATCTAGTCTGACTTTGTATGTGAAACTGACCATTGAATCTCCCACTGTTACCCCTTTATTAAGTCTGTTAATTATGTTTGGTTAAAGCATCTCTTATACTCAGCTGAGACACTGTCAGTAGGTCACTCATCAAGGCCAGTCCTCATCAAGGCCAGTCCTCATCAAGGCCAGTCCACTCTAAGTTCTGATTTCCAGTCCATTTATTTTACATGGGGCAAGCTTCCCCCCTCAGAAAACAAAGGAAGCAACAAAATAAGTATGCAAATAACAAATAAAACCAAAACCTTTGATTTTTCTCCAGACCCAGAGAGCACATCTAAAAATGATATTAATACTGTGACCACCCTGCCATGAACAGAATCAGGGAGAACTAGGAGAAGGAGACTTAGCTCGGGGAACCAGAGGAGCCACAGTAAACCCTGATGTGATCCAGGTGAACGGAGATGCTGGCTGGGGCTGTGGCAGATCAAAGGTTGCCGCGGCAGACCCAGCTGCTGGAAATCAAACAGTGAAAGAAGAGATCAGCATGGGAAAATAACAAAGAGAAAGAAAGAAGAACCACGCTGGCAAGCTAAAGGGAAGCATCTAGGTCAATCAGGCAGCCAACAGGGAACTGCTGTGCAGGACCCAGCTGAAAGGAGGGAGATTTAAAGGATGCTGAGGGAATGCCAAGGTGGCAGAAGAAGTAAGGGATCATACGGAAGAAGGAGAGAAGAGAGAGCAAGCAAGTGAAGGAGATCTTACAAAAGACCCCAGGGTAAACTCTGACCTTGCTACTTACCAGGTGAGGTCTGGCTGGGAGCAAGAGTTGGCAAAGTGGTTCAAGTGACTGGTGAGTCTGAAGCGGGGGTGGGGGGCAGTGTAAAAGGAACCACTCTGGGGACCTAGAAGAAGAGGAAAGCAAAGGGGAATTTTACTCTCCCAGAGGGGAGAGGAGAAGAGAGAGAAGACCCCAGCCACAAGAGGGTGACAAGGGGGGAGCCCAAGGAAGAGGTAGCTGTCTTGGGATCGGTGCAGGGCAGAACAGGGCAAGCAGCCACTCGGACCTGGGCTGTAGATACAAACCTTCGAGTCAAGCTAATAATGAACCTTAGCAGCGGTCAACATTGCCCGGAAAATCAGGTGTGGTGAGGGCAGGGGATGGGGATGGTGGAGCCCTGCTAAGAGCCGCAGGAGTTCTGAGCCTCTAACCATTCTCCGTTGCTTCCCAGTAGTGGCTAAGTATTATCTCCCATAACATTGAAGGCATGGCAGGAAATTCATTATAACAAGCCACTACTGTTACAACGGGAGGTGACGTGACTCCAGGCAGTGCTGAAGATGCCCTTACAAATATGCTTGAATAAATTCCAATGCAGTTCATGCCCTAGTCACCTGCTCTCAAGCACAGCATCTTCATGTGCAGCTGGGACCAGAGCAATTTAAGCTGGGGTGGTCCTGGGCGCACATGAAGAGGCTGCACCCGGGAGCAGCTGACCTGGAACAGGGAGCATGGGGGGGTCATCCCTGGGCTCTGGGTCACAGCATCAGGCAGCAGAGGGGCTGGCTGGGCCACAAGAGTGCTATAGTGCAGGGCTAGCCAGCAGCCAGCCCCTGTACTGAAGCAACCTCATGCCTCAGCTTGCCCCAGTCACAGTCTTCCCATGTGTTTGAGAGCACGTAAGTGCTCTGCCATAGGATAGTACTTGTGGCAAGCAATGCTATCCTACAGCAGAGTTAATTAATTTACTACTGTTCTGCCACCAGTGGGAGGGTTTGGGATTGAGAGAGTGGTCAGGAGTAAAAAGGTAAAATAGGTTTATTGACTTAACAAAAACACAACTATGCGTAGTATAACAAGACAACAATGACAGACAATAACAATTTGCGTCAGCAACTTATTGGAAGTCCCCTCTGATGCCTGATGTACTACAAGTTCCTCTTCTATAAAGCTCAGCAAAGTCAGGTGTCCTTGATCTGCGCTGTCCGAGGGGTACCAGGAAGAACAGTGGTATTCAGTCTTCGGGCTCCTCGAGATCCACGGGTCCACCGAATCCAGGTCAGCAACTAATCTTTAAATTAGTAGCTTCTCTCACAATGTTGTGTCTTCTGCTGATTTCCGGATGTGCTAGCCAATTTATAACTTCTGAGCTACGCTGTTGACTCACAGCCACTCACAATCTTACACTATGAACTTTCCTTATGGCTGACCAATAGCAGTACAAGCCTTTGCATTTTTCTGATAAGGTTAATTTTAACTGCATCACTACATACAAGGCCTTATTACTTTCAAGGCCTCACTAATCTTACAAGGCCTCACTACACACAAGGCCTCACTAATCTTTTACTTTAATTAAACTCTTAGCAGCAACATACAGCTCACAATGCATGAACAAACAACAAGAAACACCTGGTCTAATCCTCACAGAGTTTTCAGCAAGCACCTTCATCACACAGACACAACTCTCAGCTGTTACAACTACACCCTAATACAGGCACACATGAGGACTGTGATGCTTTGCTATGGAGCGAATTGGCCAACTCTGTAGTAAAGCGCATTTGTACATGCATCCAGAGGGAGGCAACCTAAGCTCTGTTCTTCTCCCTCAGAACACCAGCCTCTTCTTTTTTTCCCTTTTCACTCTGATCTTGGAGCTTTTAACCTTCTTCAAGGCTCTATCCTCACATACTAATTGTGAAGAAGTACTAACAAAAAATGAAGATGAAACAGCTAGAAAAAAAAGAAATCAAGCCAGGAGAATGGCAGTTCAGGAGCAGCTGCTCCCTGCATATAAAAGAGCCTGGGGCAGGACAGCGCGGCACAGAGGAGGAGAAGGGAGCGGGAGGCATCTCCTGAGTAAGGGAGAATGGAGAGAGGATGACAGAGTCAGGGAGATTCCAGGGATCAGGCCAGCATGCCAGAGAAGGCTGAATGAAGGAAAGAAGCTGGGAGTCTCCAGAGCATGTAAGTAGACTTGAACAAAATTGCACAGAGAAGAAATACACATGCGGGGAAGAGAGAGGTGGCGAGAAACAGAGGTGGGGCGGATGCTCCAGAAAAAGACAGGAAGAAGTGAAAAACAAATAAACAAAATGTTGAGAGATTCTGGTCTTGCTTTGGTTTTGTTTTCTTTATTGACTGTTTTTCAAGGGGGGTTGATTGAAAAACAAGGAAGAATACCCCAAAAACAAACAAAAACAACAAAAAAAGAAAATTTAAAAATTGAAAGTAAACACTTCTGGATAGTTCAAGAAATGGTTCAAGAGTTAGTTTGATCATGTTGTATATCAGTAAAGAAGAAACAGCATAAAAGGTGTTTATGAAAGACTAAAAAAAAAAAACAGTTTGTGAAATAGTTGTGAGTGTAAAGGAACACAAAGAATAATAAAGAGAATCATGCAACTCTATAGGACTGTGATTCAAGTAATAATTCGGACATCGGGAAAGAAAGGCATCGGATAAGTTGTGCCACTGATAGAAACCATGAGGGATTGCCAGTACCCTACTGCTGCAATAATACCTCCCGACTAATAACATCAAAAATAATAAAGACATGGCAGGAGAGAGACAGAATAGATGCAGGAGGTGATAACCAAGGCAATCAGAGGACCCATCACACTAATCATCAGTTGCAGCTGACTCCGAGCTTCCAACCAGGCAGACTATGAACTGTTCCTTCCTTGGGGCTGGGCTTTCAGTCTCTTGAAGAATGCACCTCCTTATAGGCACCATATTATAACATGGATTGGTCTTGCACCATACTGTTGTAATCATGCTGAAGCCCCCTAAAAGTACGTTAAGGTGCCAATAACAAACTTCACTTAAGGTGTGCCTGCACCAGATGTGTTAATGTGCATTAACCTAATTTAATACGCATTAAGGGCACACATTTATATGTGCATACCCTTAATGCACATTAAAAATGGTGAATTTAGACTAATCATGACTAAATTTGCTACCTGCAACTGGTAACAAATGTAGGCATGATTAGTTAAAGCACGTTAATGCACCTGTAGACTGACCCAACACAAAGTTTAATGCTGGGTCTGCCCAGCCACTGGGTGCACGTGGGGGGTCTGCAGGGACTTGGCACTAACTTTATTACCAAGTGCATTAACTTTAGTACCAAGTCCTTGCACATGTAGACACCTGCCAAAAATCGCTTACTGCGCTCAATATGCATTACATTTAGTTGTGCTTAAATGCACATGTAGACGTGCCCTTACTGTGTTACTGTCTTCTTATACTGTAGCTGTGCAGTCTCAATGCTGTGGTCCCTTAGTGGTACTTTATCTTTAGTATCTTTGTGAATGCTCCACTTCACTGCTGCCACAGAAAGGTCTGTTTTAGTTATAACCATAGGAAGGCCTATTGGCTTCTTGACTTCTTAGCTTGGCCTGGAAGGTCATGAGAAATGTCAGCTGTTCCCTTGTCAGAAACTGTCAGATGGTTTCCAGGTTGTTGACTGTTTATTAATTTAACAGATTGCATCTGGGATAAACGTCACATCTTTCAGCTGTCACCTTGTCTGTACAAGGCACTTTCAGAAAGGCAAATGCAACCAAGAAAGTTTTCTCCTGAACCATAAGGAGATTTCGTTGGATACTGGTTAGGTTATAGGTTTAGGGAACTGCAAGTGCTACAGCTGTTGACTATAGACTTCTGCCTGCTGGCCTGTGGGGTAATGCCAAGCAAAATGTTTTGTATTCTCTAGGTGGGACAGGGAATCTCACAGACAAAGCAACCAAAGGAACTGTAGGGGATGCAGTGACCTGTGTTCCCTGTAGGAAGGATATTTATGAGCCCAAAGTGAAAAGCTCTGTCCCCACAGATTTGCTAAGCATCTAGATCCAAATTTCACAATAACCTATCTTCTACTTAGATTCCATTTATGTATGCTTAAGGGAGATCCTGAAAACTATGCCTCAGAGTCCATTCTGTCGTAAGTCAGTGCATGCTACAGCCCTAGCCAGCAGTTGATGGGCCTTCCAGGAGCCTAGTGCATGCTCCCAGTATTCTACAACATGGAGAATCTGTAATGGAAGATTGTTTCTTACTACCACTGCAAGTTTGTTGTTCAGGAATCATACAGAACCAAGCTGTCTCACATATTTCCTTAGTTCAAGGCCTACATTCCCCAGGAAATGTGTGAGAAGCAAGAGGTTTTTGGTGATACCTTTTATCGGACCAGCTGTATAGCTGGGAGATGTTAAGCAAGCTTTCAGGCACAAAATGTTCTTTCTCAGG